TATATATATATATATATATATATATATATTTCCTATGGTTCAATATCGATTAAATTGCAGTCATAATGTTAAAAAACGTATCTACTTTTCGCAGATAATAAAGTCTGTATGTTTCTTGACTGCATTGAAGAAAAATTATAAGATTACAATAATGATATTAGAAGATTCTTATATCTTTACTAAAATGAATAATTTTCTTTTAAAATCGATTGTATTGCAAAGGATATTTTACATTGATACTGTATATTATTCAGCAATTTAAAATTTTTTGTAGATTTACTGCATTGAAGAAAAATATTTTAGTCTACAAACGTCTGATTTAATAATCTTCGAAATATTTCGTTTTTTTAATATACATATATTTCATATAATAAAAAATCGATTATATTACAGTAATTTTGTTGGAAAATGTATCTACTTTTCGCAGAAAATAAAAGTTTGTATGTTTCTTTACTGCGTTAGAGAAAAACTATAGGATTACCAAAATGAGATTCTTATATATTAGAAGATTCTTAAAGCTATAATGAAAAGAATTTTTGTCATTTAGTATCAATTGAATTACAAGGAAAATGTAAGATTAACATTGCATAATTTTCAGCAATTTAAAGATGTTTGTAGATTTACTGAATCATAGAAAAAATTGTTAGTCTACAAAAATCCGATGTCATAATCTTCAAAATATTTCGTATTTTTTAATATATATATATATATATATATATATATATTTCCTAGGATAAAAAATCGATTATATTACAGTATTTATGTAAAAAATGTTTTAAACTTTCGCAGATAATAAAAGTTCGTACTTTTCTTTACTGTATTAGAGAAAAACTATACGATTACAAAAATGAGATGCTAATATATTAAGAGATACATACATCTTTTTTGAAAAGAATTTTAGTCATTTAATATCAAATAAATTACAAGGAAAATGTTAGATTACCATTGTATATAATTCAGCAATCTAAATATGTTTATAGATTTACTGTATTATAGAAAAATTTGTTAGTCTTCAATAATCCGATCTAATAATCTTCGAAATATTTCGTTTTTTTTTAATATACATTTATTTCCTCTGATACAAAATCGATTATATTCCAGTATTCATGTAAAAAAATATTTTAAACTTTCGCAGATAATAAAAGTTTGTATGTTTCTTGACTGCATCAGAGAAAAATTAAAAAACATAAAGATGTTTGTAGATTTACTGAATCATAAAAAAATTTTTTAGTCTACAAAAATCCGATGTAATATTCTTCGAAATATTTCGTATTTTTTAATATACTGTTATGCCCTGGGAGAAGGTTTAACTTTCCTTTAAAATAACTAACACAAGATTTTAATGTCTAAACTATATTCACATTTAATTGTTTTTTTTGATAACGTAAAGTCGCACTTTAACTAAAAAACTAATTATTACTGTTAAATGCTAACTAAATTGTTGTTATTAATTCCGGAGTTTATTTTATAACATAAAATTAACGTAAGATACTTTATTACGATTCTTTAATTTATTCTCAAATAAATTCTGTAACTAGGAATGCGTAACGACTCGTAGTTTATTCTGTGAGTACAATTCTGTAACTAACTAAGAAGGTGTAAGAGAACATACACCGCAATTTTAAGTATCACTATGCCAAGGGAACAAACAGGTAATAAGGTGTGCTTTGCCCAGCAGCTAGCGTATAAACAACATCGTCAGCAGTTTTGAAGGATAACATTAAAAGAAAAATAAAAATATACAGAGGCATTGTTATGGCCGAAATTCCTCAACTAAGAGTCCTCTGGCAATTTGTATATGTTATGAAGTGGAGAATAAAGGGTTAGGATAAGGTGTAAAATAAAACACGTGATTGAGCCAATCAAAGAAACAATGCCTTTTTTTATTGGCTCGTCAGGGAAAAGCCTTGCAGCATAAAAACCCTGGATGATATTTACATATACAATAAGAATGCACCGCGTGGTGTTACCACGTGGGAAAATACCGTTGATGCGAAATATATATATATTGGAAAGATCTCACCTCTCGCACTCCTCAAATATAGCGATCACAACCTTAAAGGTTGTCATGTTGAATGAGCTCACATTCACGAGTCTTGAAGATTAGGATATTCTGTTCGTTGTCCTTTGTGAATTCTTAAAGCCTTTGTTCAATATGGCCTCTATAATCCTTGAAGATGCTTAGTCGTAGGCGTCCGGTGAAGAAGTAGCAAGAATGCCCTCTTGTACTGGCCCAGTAGGACGTACGCACTACGGCTACGAGAAGTGGGGATGCGAGAGGTAGGGATTGCTAGAGGAGCGCTTCGATAGTTACTGGTAGTTGATCGATGCTCACAATGAGTATCGATCTAGAATCCTAATCGATGGAATCGGACGCGCGCGAATTTCGAATACCGCTAATTATCGTACGATCCTTTCGGATCGCACAGGCAGAACAATACATATATTTCCTATGAAACCAAATCAATTATATTACAGTAATTATGTTGATAAATGTATCTATTTTTTACAGATTTTAAAAGTTTGTATGTTTTTTGACTGCATTAAAGAAAAATTATAGGATTACAAAAATGAGATGCTAATATATTAGGAAATTCTTATATCTTTAATGAAAAGAATTCTTATTATTTAAAATCGGTTAAATGAAAAGGAAAATGTAAGATTACTATCGTACATTATTCAGCAATCTAAAGATGTTTGTAGATTTACTGAATCATTGAAAAATTAAATAGTCTACAAAAATCCGATGTCATAACCTTCGAAATATTTCGTTTTTATAATATACATATATTTTTTATGATACAAAATCGATTATAATACAGTTATTAAGTTGGAAAATGTATATATCTTCCACATTTAATAATAGTTTGTATGTTTCTTGACTGCATTAGAGAAAAATTATAGGATTACAAAAATGTGATGCTTATATATTAGGAGATACTTAGTCTTTAATGAAAAGAATTCTTATCATCCAGTGGCTCCAAGAAGCCAAAAATTCTAGTATCTTAAGTCAGCAATGCAAGGTAAGGCCTAGGAACTTATTGCGAATATAACACCAGACGACTCGTCCTATGACCAGGCGTGGAAACTGCTCAATTCAAGGTTTGAGAACAAACGCCTTATTAAAAGGTCACATCTAGAAAGACTACTCAATCTCAAACCTATGCAAAAGCGCCAAGCCACCTCGCTGACAAAAATGGTTAATATCATTATAGAGACCACTCAGGCACTCAGAACGCTCACAGTGGAGAGTAATAATGACTGCTTAATGGTCACTCTCCTTACTGGCCTGCTCGACCAAGACACGCGCGAGAGGTGGGAGATATCTCTTGCATTGACCGTCGAATTTCCGACACTTAGCCAGCTCACCGAATTTCTGGTCGCTCGTGCTCGCACGTTGGAAACAATTGAAGCCTCATCAACGTCAACTCCATCGCGATCTGCCCAAGAATGCGAGGCTACTCAGTCAACCAAAGGGTGTAGTTGATCAGTTAGAGGAGCTTGTGCTGCTATTGCCTAGCCAGGCACAACCTGAGAAAGTGCAACAGCTGACGGCATTGCAAGACGTGCAACGACTTCCACCATACCTTATTGCAGGGTGCTGACCTCTCAACCATCTTCATTCCACCAAGAGATAGGGCTCAGACCGCTCAGGAGGTGCCAGATGAACCCGCTCCCTCCGAAAAGTCTTCTCAAGCATGAAGCTCAGGGCAGCTCGTTGAGAGTTACGATCACCCAATGTCAAGCTCAGCGCATCTCAGTCATCTCACATTGCTGGCCACAGCGACAGCGATAGTCGTCTCATCAACAACGTCAGTTCAAGTTCGTGTTCTCATTGACCCTGGATCAGAAATCTCGTTCATCTCAGAAAGACTCACCCAGCAGCTTAATCTTTAACGAAGGCACTCAAGGCTGGACGTTTATGGTGTCGGCGGAAAACGGACTTCTCAAACAAGAGGAATTGTCACGCTCAACCTTCAATCAAGGTATAGTCCACTTACAGTGACAATTTCAGCTCACGTACTCAAGACAGTTACCACCATCCTGCCGGCCATAAAGATACAACAGGAACCCGAATGGCCTCACCTTAAGGGTTTAAATCTCGCTGATCCAGAGTTTCTCATTCCAAGGGAAGTAGAGGTTATCATCGGAGCAGACTTCTACGGCTAACTCATCAGGCCTAACATCATTAGGCACTCAGACAGATCTCCCATTGTTTAGTTGTCCATCTTTGGGTGGCTGGTAATTGGCCCAATTCAGGCACCTGTCACACTTGCAAGGACGACTCATCATGGCAGCTCTCAGGCATCAAACTCATCCTTGCAAGAGGTGTTGACACGGTTTTGGGTCCAAGAAGAACCTCTATCATCGGACAACTCACCGCTCACTCCTGAGGAGCAGGAGTGTGAGCTCCACTTCAAGACCACTTATTCAAGGGACTCGACACATCGTCAGGATACCGCTCAAGTCGCCCCGAACAGTCCTGGGAGATTCTTATCAGACAGCTCATCGATCGCTCCAACGAATTCTCAGACGACTTGGCAGAGACACTCAGTACGACCGACTGTACACTCAGTTCATGCGAGAGTATGAACAAGCTCAACACATGCTAAAGCTCGATGACAGCTCAGTTGGTAGAAAACCACACTACTATCTGCCTCATCATGGGGTGCTCAAGCCAGACAGCTCAATCACGAAGTTTAGAGTTGTTTTCAACAGTTCAAGCGCCAGCTCCACTGGTCACTCGCTCAATGACATCACTCACGCTGGTCCTAATCTGATGCTTAACATCTTCGACTTGCTCATTTGGATACGCCAACTCAAGTATCTGTTTGCGACTGACATCACAAAGATGTATCGGCAAATCAAGATACACCCAGATGACCAGGATCTTTAACGCATCATGTGGGTGAACGAACAGCACGTTGAATCTTATTTTCAGCTTACCACAGTAACTTATCGTGCTCAGCAACTGATGGGCCAACTACCTCTGGCGCAAGTCACCCCATCACGCCCGTTCTCTCACACAAGCATTGACTACGCTGGACCTCTCACGCTCAAGACGTGGAAAGGACGTGGCTCCAAGACTCACAAGGGTTGGATCTGCGTATTTGTCTGTCTATCAACTTCGACCGCTCATCTAGATGTCGTCTCAGCTACTCAGCCGAGGGCTTCATTGCGACTTACAGACGCTTCACCTCAAGAAGGGGTGTCCCGTCAGACGTCTACGCTGATTGTGGCACTAACTTCTTAGGCGCTGAGGTTAAGCTCATGCAATGTTTCTCAGAAAGCTTTTCAGGACGTCGATATATCTCTTCTGTGCTAGCTCAGGACAAAACACAGTGGCATTTCAACCCGCCTGCAGCCCCCCACATGGGTGGGAAATGGGAAGCATTAGTCAAGTCTCTGAAGTTTCATCTCAGAAAAACTGTCGGAGACACACTGCTCACATATGAGGAGACTTCCACACTCTTCGCTCAAATTAAAGCCATTCTCAATTCCAAACCACTTGAACCGCTCAGCGATGACCAGGGCACTTTCTAATTGGAACGGCACTCAACGCTGTTCCTGGAAGCTCACTATTAGACATCTCAGCAAGTCAGCTCTCCAGATGGCAGCTCATCCAGCAACGAATTCAACAGTTCTGGCGCATGTGGTCAACTCAGTACTTAAAACAGTTACAAGCCATCTCAAAGTGGCATCACGCTCACAACTAGATTTAGGTAGGTTCACTCGTTCTTCTTACTTATGAGCGTTTGCCTCCAGGAAAATAGCCCATGGCTAGGGTGCTCAAGTTGCTGTCAGGGAAGGATGGACTCAGTAGGGTGGTATCACTACAGTCCTCCCAGTAGCCCCTCAGAAGCATAACTATAACTTATCATCAATTTCGTTGCTGATAGCGGGCGGAAATGTTTGGGATTTCTAATGCCCAATCAGAACTCGCGACAGTTGTCGCTCCACGGAGTCTGCACGCAGACTCGCCATAACTCATCACGGCGGTTAAAGAAGCACCGTGACGCCGGCCTCTCAGGCAGCAATCTTCATTAGAACTCTCGATCTCTTACAAACCACAGGTGTCTCCTCAGTTAAATCATAAGTCTTCTCATTAATTACAAGTTCGGTGTGATTAATACAATCATCATCGCTCGGCTCTTGACTAATTAATATAATCAGGCCGGCTGCAGTCTTCTTATTGTAATAACTTCAATGTAAAGATACAACACGTGATTTGCTCAACGGCTCTCCTTTGAATCTCTTAACCGACACGCGGTGTACGCTTACTTTTAAATATATCTGACCACTCAATGCAAATGCTCGGCGTTCTTCTCTTTATGCCTGCTTATTTCCTCAGCAGATACGAATTTGATTATATTACAGTAAATATGATAAAAAAATTATCTAATTGTCGCAGATAATAAAAGTTTGTATGTTTCTTTACTGCATCAAAGAAATATTAAAGGATTACAAAAAAAAGATGCTAATATATTAGGCGATTCTTATATCTTTAACAAAAGAATTCTTATCATTTAAAATCAATTAATATACAAGGAAAATGTAAGATTACTATTGTACATTATTCAGCAATCTAAAGTTGTTTGTAGATTTACATAATCATAGAAAAATTTATTAGTCTACAAAAATCCGATGTCATAGCCTTCGAAATATTTCGTTTTTATAATATACATGTAAGATTTATTGAATTTAAATAGAAATATTTATTATAATAGAACAAATACTTAAATATTAAGGTTTAATATAATAATAAAAAGATAGAAATCGAAAAGAAAAGTAAGTAACAATACTTAGGAATCTTAAACTCTAAGTACACTCGTATTACACTCGTTCACTCACAAATAGTCGCACCGAATCAAGAAGGCCCAGATCGCTTTTTTCGCCGCGCTTATATACTCATTCACCCCACCAATGGTCCCAATCACTTCCGTCAATCATTCTCGAAATCTCCAGACTATTCCCGACCGATTAAACAAAAGACCTTTTCCCGATTTCCGGTTCGGGAATATTCGAGAGACTTCGGGGTGCACGCTCGCTATTCTTTTTTGCTAGACACACTCATATTCATACCGCTGCATGCACTCACACTTATATTCATATCGCTGCATACTCCTAAACATTTGTCACACTCATCAATTGTTTTCACGCACACCATACACTCGCACTCTTCGTCTTTCTCTCACCGCCGTTCTGACAAACATATCTGTCCTCAGATATACGATCGGCTTTAACTATCTTCGATAAATATTTCTTCTTCCTCTTGAGCCCATGGCTTCATCGAATTGGCCGCAGTCGATGTTGTGTATGGACCTTTGTGTTCTCCCACTTTTCGCACCATATAGCGATCGCCCCTTAATACTGTGATTACCTCGTATGGTCCTAAATATTTTGGGTGTAATTTCAATCTCGGTCCAAATTGCGTTCGTCGTATCGCAACCAGATCTCCTTCTTTATATCGCGTTGCGGCAGTTCTTTTTTTATTAAATGATCTACGATTTTCCATTTGTGCCCTTAGGATGGCTTCTTTCGCACGTCTCCGACACTCTTCCCGTTGTTCTTCAAACATCTGTCTCCATTCGTCTTCTATCATTTTGCGTATAGATGGATCCTCCTCCATTCTCATGTTCGTACCAAACAGCAATTTAAACGGGGTGGTTTTTATACTCTTGTTAGGYGTAGCATTCAGATATCGCTGGGCCAAGTCAAAGTAGCGATGCCAATCTTCCGGTTTTGGAGAAGACATTTTCGTTAATAGGGGTATRAGCGTGCGATTAACCCTTTCCACCTGCCCATTACCCCTGGGCATTCCGATTGCATTCTTTATATGCTCAATGTTCTCCTCATCGCAATACCTCTCAAAATCATTTGATGTGAAAGCGGTTCCTCTGTCCGAGATAATTCGTTTCGGATTTCCGAACACACTCGCCTGTTTTTGTAGATGACGTAACACTTCAGCTGAGTCCATAGATTTAGTTGCATACAACCACACGAGCTTCGAGAATCCATCTACCACTACGAATATGTACCTATAGCTCTTCTTGGTGGAGGGGATAGGCCCAAGGTGGTCGACGTAGAAAGTGTGGAGGGGAACCTCTCCCTTGTCGATTGGATGCAGCCAACCCTCCGCTCTTCCGCTCTTTCTTTCGGCCAAAATACACTTAACACAATTTCGCACTACTTTCTCCGCGACGTTGCCTATTCCTTCGAACCAATAGTCTTTCTTTTCTAACATTACGGTCTTATCTACCGCAAAATGTCCCTGTTCATGCGCTCGACGAACAACTTGCACCTGTAATGCCCTAGGTACTACCACTAGCATATCACCGTTTACATCTTTATACAATATCTCGCTTCTTATGATATAACAACTTAGTTTATTTTCCTTAATACCGTTAACTATGCCGCGCAGACCTTCGTCTTCGTGCTGCGCTCGCTTGAAGCTAGCTATGAGTCCACTTTCGTCCTCGCGAACAGACATTACCGTCGGCAAAGGATTGCGGCTCAACGCATCCGCATGTACCATCTGCCTTCTCGCCCGATGTTCAATCGTATACCGAAGGTCTTCGAGAAGTAAAGCTCACCTCGCAACGCGAACGCACAAATCTTTTTTCCGCATAGTGAGTGTAAAAGCACAGCAATCTGTAACTATCTTAAATTCTATCCCTAGTAGATACACTCTAAACTTTCGCAATGACTTGATAATCGCAAGCACCTCTAGTTCATAACTAGGATACTTATCTTCGGCAGGTGAGGTCTTTCCCCTCGCGTAATATATCGGATGAAACATATTATCAGTGTTATCTCGGAAAATTTGAACAAAATCCGAGAGGGCAAGACCTTGCGTTGTCCTTGTCAGTGGTGAAACTTAATAAAAAATATCAGGTAAGAGAATAATCATATTTTTTAAATATATCTCGAAAAGTAAGGGAGATAAAATATTTTAGTACAAGACCTTTTTTGTAGCAAATAAAATTGTCTACAAAACATAATTAATAAAAAATCGCTTTATCTCGCTTACTTTTTGAGATATTTTCAAAAATCTATCATGCTGTCACAGATGCGCGCGAGATTCTCGAGCTATAGAGAATATAGAAGAAAAAGAGAATACATGTGGCGTCTCGCACCAGCGCAGTGTCGACACCTCTCGGCCAACAGCGCGCAGCTGTAGCAGCGCGCGCAGGAAATGTGCTGACACCTCTCGGCCGACAGCACTAACTTACGCAAGCACCTCGTATCGCGGTTCCGCAGGGGCATCCGATTGGCCGGACCGCGCCTTTGATTGGCCAGAGCGGAAGAGTGACCACTGCGACCGTTGCTCTTCCCACTTCCGGATGCCTGGATCGCCGTGGCGGTGCACACGCAGGAAAAACCACATCACTTCTATTTCGTCCGTCGAACCGTCCAGTCGCATTCTTCTCATCGCGCTCACTGTGTAAAAGTATCTTCTGTGCATCTTCTGTACGTGACCACGTGGCACACCACGCCAATAAATAAAATATCGTCCCACGGGATCAAAAACATAATCGGAATTTTCTTTCCTCCACACGGAGTCTCATTGGCCCATTCCTTTCTCCGCGGCCCGTTCTTCGCGTTAGTGAGAACTCACCTTAACGCGTCTAGTAATTCAGGGAAAGAAATTCCCAAATTGGTGACCCCGACGTGATCCCGAGGACCATCTTCAGCAGCCCCACGTGCTCTCCACACAACTGGCTTCTCAGCACCACGTGCTCGGCAACACCACGTGTTCTTCATCACCACGTGCTCTCCAACGCCACGTGTTCTCAGGCGCTACCCATCTTCGTGTGAGTACTAACTTTTCCTTCATCACCGGCACCTCTTCGCCTTAAAAGAAAAGAAAAGAAAGAGAGGAAGATGCCCATCACA